AAATTACACACAGGTACTCCTGTAGGCCTTTGGTGAAAGTATCCGACTAAAAGAAGGAGGATATGACTGCATGCCACGCCTTTTTTTTTTTTAGTTCAGACAAACATTTGAAAGCCATTAACGTTCTATTTTGTGTTGATTTAGTCAAGACAAAATGAGAAAAAGTGATGTGAATTCGCTGCGGGACAGTCATCGTGGGTCTACTTTGACCCGCTCTCTTCTTGCAGAACACTGTCCCTGCAGGTCCCTCAGGATTACATCACCTGATAAAGGCCACTAAGTGGAAACGGAGGGACCTCAGGCTTTAATGAACCAATCAGAAATCACACGTCGGCGTTCCAGGATGGCATATGTGAATTCCTTGGCTCGAGTCAAACCCACACGGCCGCAGCGTACAGACTGGTTCGTACGTCAGCGCTGCTAGACTCACGCCACCTTTGCTACACTAGCCATATGTAAACAGTCAATACCGTGGCTCCTCTTTGTACACTGGCATTTTGTTTGTACTTTTTAAGGCAAAATAATGGCTATAAAAGGCAATCTGGAAAGAATAAAATCTGATGTAAAGCTCAGATCTCAGTCCCTGTAGACTGGGTTAATTGGCCTGGTGGTTTAGTTAAAAAAAAAAAAAAAAAAACACAACGCAGGATAGAGGGAGAGCATTATTACTGGCCCACCTCAGCTTCCATGCATGTGCCAATGTTTTAATAACTTCCTCCAGGCCTCCTGGCCCTTAGCCCTTGTTTCCCCGTGCAGGACAAAGAGCTGCCCTCCTGAGCTGGTCCCGTCTGTATTGTGCACTTCCTTCCCCCTCCCTTGTTTTCATGGGAAAGCCTGCCAGCGTGAACACCTGGGCAGAGAAATAACAGATAGTCTCCCCTCTCTTTTAGGTGAATTCCATTACAGCAAAGAGTTTTACAAATTGCTGGCAAAATGACAAAAAAAAAAAAAACAGCAGCGGAAACACAGCGCGGAGTATTACCGAATCCTGCTGCGACTCCATTTCATTTAATCTCTCATCTCAGCCTCATTCACAAAGAAAGAAAACACACACACACACACAGGAGTGTGTGGCAGAGTAAATTGGGCGATTAGGTCCAGCGTCGGTGGCCGCGTTGAGAAGGAGGAGGATGTAATCGTTCTAACTGGCACTTGACCTCGCCGGTCAGAGGGGGAAAAGGTCAGGGTCTGCATGTCGGGCAGGCGACTGTGATTACCACAGACTGAAGCGTGACATGACCCGCCATGATCCTTTAATGAGGGCTTGTATTGGCCAGAGCACTGAATGTCAACCCTCTCTCAACGTTTAGCTTTCATCCTATCAATTTACACTGTAAAAAATGAGTTTTGGGGGAAACTAATTATTGTGCTGAAATATATTATCACAGTTTTGGGGGGAAAAATTAAGAAACCACTTAAAATGATCAGGTTTTTTGATTTTACTGAAAAAGATGCAGCGCTTTAAGACCTCAAAGTACATATTCATTTAGAAACAACAGTAATGTTTTAACTCAGGAAGAGTTCAGTAATCAATATTTGGTGGAATAACCATGAGGCCTTCTATGGGGTTCAGTGCAGTGGTCTCTTAATTTATTTCAGAGCTGTATATATATATATATATATATATATATATATATATATATATATATATATATATATATATATATAAACACGTACATAAGTTTGTAAATATGTCAGCTTTTTTAAATGTTTGTAATAAATACTAAACTTTGGCTAAATGACTGAAGCTGTTTGTTCCGTCAGCAGTTCTAGTTTGAGATGAAGGGGCAGTAAGGCTAAAATGTTTGTGTATGATATAATAAATAATTGTATCAACTTAATGATGGTAGATATAAAGTATTTTGAGTCAAGAGACCTCTGTAAAACTGTTTTTGAAGCAAGAATTTCAGTTTTTTTTAATCCAGCTTTAGCTAGTTTTAGGGACAGTGCTAATGTTAAAGTCAAACTGAAGCTGAGCAACTTTGTTAATGACTAAGATTGTTAATTTCATTGACAATCTTTGTCAATTAAATTAACTAAGAACAGCAAAAAAAAAAAAAAGATTAACATGCCACCTTATCAGAATGCATTCAGAAAGTTTATTACCTCAGTAGAGTGCTTTTTTTTCTCATCTGTAAGTCATAAACCACGTAAGATACATGATCCCAATGACTTGTGAGAAAATTGCTAATTTAATTGGGAACAATCATTTTAGAGATTGGCTGGAAATCAATGATGTCTTTTACAGAACAGAACCGGCCCAAGGCTCTGGCAAGCCGAGTTGTTGGAAACCCAACGAGAGGTTGACTTTTTACACTGAACTCAAAACTTTACATTTGTTCTGTTATTTTTTTAAAAAATATGTTAACAATACCTGCTTTACAAATCTTACTGACAAGATTACAACTGGTAAAATTTGCTGAAGCTAGCTTAGCAATAACGTTAATGCTAAAGTCAAATTTGTTTGCTAGCAGAGCTTCCTAACCCTCAGCCCGTTGGTGTTGCTAATGAAGACGAACCAGATCAGCAAAGTGATCTAAGTAAATATAAATTAACCAATCCAGCAAGTAATTTTATTAAAAAAAAAAGTTGAAATGAACCAATTTCATTTAAATTTCTTTTCGTTGCTAAACAATTTAATCCGTAATTAAAATCCAATGTATGTAAAATGTTACTTTGATTTCATTGGGTAACTTGGAAAACTTTGCTTTATTATAGTCTGATTTGCCTTTTTTCCGGTCCTATGTCTCCCCCCCCCCCCCCCCCCGTTGTTTGCTTGCTTGTTGGGGAAGTTGATGAAATTTGTCTTTGGCCGTCATTAAGCAGCCACCATTGACTGCCACTCTATTAGCTGCCACGCTTCCTTTAGCAGCATATGGTGCACCAGTGTAAGATATGACAAGATGCAAATTTGTTTCTGTAGCAGTGGTGGGACTAGTAGGTTATGAGCATGGCGGGTTTTGATTTACTTGGATTCATAATCCTAGCTTGTGTATATATATATATATATATATATATATATATATATATATATAAAAGACACACATCAAATAGCTCAATCCTTTATAGTTATTGATCCATTAGGTCCAGTGATAATACAGCTCTGCCCCTTTGGGGGCATGTAAATAGCCTCCATGTGTGTGGTGCGGTGTGTGCGCCCAAGCCCGTCAGGTCCCTTAAATCCCCCACACCCCTCTTCTTTACCCCTTCGCTCCTCCTTTTCCCTTCCCCTCCCTGGCTCTCTTCTCCCCATCCAAGCTGTTAAGCTGTCCAGCTCTCCGCTGCCAAGCGGCCGTGTGAAGCTTAGCCAAACTAAACACGGGCAGGCAGCCCGCCACTCGCCCCGCACAGGCACGCAGCCGTGCGTGTGCAAACCCAGGCGCACGTGCCCCCACCCGCGCACGCACAAACGGGGGGCTCCGTTCGCACGCGCGCGCGCCAAAGCGCTACCCCGTATTAGCAGTGAGAGTCAGGTCGCTTCCCAACCCACACAAACAGTGAAAGTGACGGCTGCACCAGAGCACTGCTAATAGCGGAGGAAAACCGACAGAATCAGTAAATGAGCCCCTCATTAACTTTTTCTGACCCTTTCTCCCCAGAGGCAAGCCAAACCAATCACAGCGCCAAATCAGCTTCCTGTACCAGACACTGATCCAACATCAGCTTTCGCTCATCTGCTCTCCTCGGTGCAAAGTGAGAGCGTGTGAATTTGTGCGAGAAAGGATGTAGACTGTGGAGCAGAGAGAGCATATTCCTGAGCGTGTATCAGTGTCTGCATGTGTGTTTTACATTGCATTACAAAGGGTGGCTTTGAGGCAGTCAGCCATCTTAAGGACTCTTTTGTTGATCATATAAAACTCTGGCCAAGCCTAACTTCCCCGGCTTTGTGTTGGCCCCTCCGGGGCTTCGAGCTCTGGGACGACTGTACCAACTTGACTCCGCTTGCGGTAGCCGCTGATCATAAAGTAGATTCAGATGCCTTGCAAGCAAACACAAGACTGTGGAAATGCCTCTTCAGTGGAAGCCTGCGTTCAATTAGATGAACCTCTACCGGGGTCCTTCTTTCTTTTTTTTCCTGTGAGTCAAAAGCAGGCTGACAGGGCCATGCCACAGTGACTGATAGATGCATTTGGTATTATTAAGTCACTGCATTTAAAGGGGTAATTTGTCAACGAGTGACGCTCAGTTCTGTGTGTGGAGCCACAACAGATCTCTTTACAGTCCCCTGTAACTACACCAGTGACGCAGGGATCCATTTAATGTGGACACAGTTATAAAACCAGCGGCACTTTTATTTACTCATCAGCTCTATCTCTTCTCTGGTGTGTGCTTCTCTGGTTTCTCTCTTTGCCTCCCCCTCTGGTTCCGACCGTCACCCACACCCCTAATATCTTCAGCTTTTTACCCATTGTTCGCTCCCCGGTTTCCATATGGAAATGACATAGTTGACGAGATGGATCTGTATATTAAAGCCCTGCTGACATTAGAATTTGCATAATGTGTCACAGCCTAAGGGCAATACCTGCCACCTATATTAGCCTGTAGAAACACACCCTGTCTTATGAAGTCTCATAACACAACGCACAAACAGAAGGCTCATCTTACGCTTCAGTCTCAGCGCAATAAATTTTCCCAAATGCCTCACATGTTCACACGCAAAATAATTCAAAAGACAAAGGTTGGCTTATCTTAAGCACTGAAGAAGAATGCAACTTCTTTTTGTGTTTCTTGAAGTCATGGTCGTTCTTTTCCAAAAGGCTTCCTCAGTCCTGACAGCGGATCGAAAGTTGCAACTAAGAGGTGAAAAAGTTTTAGAAAACAAAATGATGTGTCCAGTTTCCTATTTCTTGCACAACTGGAAATGTCATGTTTTCATTGACAAAGAATCTACACCTATATGATCAGTGTGGTTGTTGAATAAAAAGGCTTTATGTACATTATTTGAGAGAGGTGTGTTTTTACAATGTTTTTTTTTTTTTCCTTTTTCTCTTGACCTTCAGATAAAGACGAACCATCCAGCTACATCTGTACTACCTGCAAGCAGACCTTCAACAGCGCCTGGTTCCTGCTTCAGCATGCCCAGCACACTCATGGCATCCGCATCTATCTCGACAACCATCTGGCCAACTGCTCCCTCACTCCCCGCATGGCTCTGCCTCCTCCCCCGGGAGCCGATGCCTTGCCTCGCTCCCCTCTCCCTACTTTCCTTGGCGACACCAACAACCCATTTCACCTCCTCCGCATGGCTGCGCCCTTGCTCAGGGAACACCCCCACCCTCCAGGGTACATGGAGACCCGCCTTCCTGCGACGCCGCCCTTTGTCAGCCCTCCGCCTCCCCCTAGGCCACCTCTAGAGCGACTGGGCCCAGAGGAAATGGGGCTGCTGTCACAGCACCCCAGTGCCTTTGAGAGGGTGATGAGAATGACCCCCATGGAGCCTCCATCCATGGACTTCTCCCGTCGACTGAGAGAACTAGCGGGCAACACAACCAATAATGGCGGGCCCACACCTCCTTTGTCACCAAACCGCGTGCCACCCATGCACCGCCTGCTGAGTCCGACGCTTTTCCAGCCTGGTGCCAAGCCCCCAACATTTCTCACCTATGCCCCCCAGCCACCCGTATCCCAGGGGGGCCATGGCTCCTCCAGCCCTCCAGACGCACAGGGTCAGAATAATGCCCCTGGAAAGTCAAAATCCTGCGAGTTCTGCGGCAAGATCTTCAAGTTTCAGAGCAACCTAATTGTCCACAGACGCAGTCACACAGGAGAGAGGCCCTACAAGTGTCATCTGTGTGACCATGCCTGCTCCCAAGCCAGCAAACTTAAAAGGCACATGAAAACACATATGCACAACAAGTCTGGGAACATGACGGGCTCTCCAGAACAGGGGAGTCGGGGAGAGGAAGGAGAAGGTGAGGGAAAAAATCGAGAGGGCGATGTGAGGGTTATGGAGATGGATAATGAGGAAGAAGAGGAAGATGAGGAAGAAGAGGAGGAGGAAGAAGAGGAGGAGGAGGAAGAGCTAAGGAATGGGAGTCGACCAGATTCCAACCTGAGTGAGGACTCCCAGGAATTCAGTCACAATAGAGAAAATGGTCCCAGACAGTCCCCTGAGGAGAAACCCATGAGTGGGGACAGAGTTAATGACAATGGCGGGGTGGGCATGATGCACCCATACAACCACCTGGACAATCACCTTAGACTTAACCCTAACAAGAGAAGCTTGGAGAGGCAACCTAATGGAGACAGTGGGGAGAGGAATGAAGCTGAGAGAGAAAATGACAGGGAACCAGACAGAGAGCGCGAGGAGCAAGAGGACATTAGGCCCATGATGAATGGCAGGATCAGTGTAAGTGAAGTGGAGTCCTTTCCTGGGCTTTTTCAGCGTAGGCCCACCCCCATCACCAGCCCGAGCCCCTCCAACAACAAGAGGATCAAGATAGAGAAAGAACAGTTGGATATTCCTCCGACCATACCCCTCATATCCCCAGAAAATGTCTACTCCCAGCTTCTGGCTGGCTACGCTGCTTCCCGCCACTTCATCAGAGAACCTTTCTTGGGGTTCACCGACTCCCGCCAGTCTCCGTTCGCCACCTCCTCCGACCACTCCTCCTCGGAAACGGGAAGCCTGCGCTTCTCCACTCCACCCGGGGAGCTGATAGAAGGCGGCAGCGCGTCGGGGCGCAGCGGAAGCAGCACCCCTCACCTCCTGCGCGGACCGGGACCCGGCCGGCCTCCCAGTTCAAAGGAGAAGCGAAACGACACCTGCGAATACTGCGGCAAGGTGTTCAAGAACTGCAGCAACCTGACAGTCCACCGGCGCAGCCACACGGGGGAGCGGCCGTACAAGTGCGACCTGTGCAGCTACGCCTGCGCCCAGAGCTCCAAGCTGACGCGTCACATGAAGACCCACGGTCAGTTCGGGAAGGAGGTGTATCGATGCGACATTTGCCACATGCCCTTCAGTGTCTACAGCACACTGGAGAAACACATGAAGAAATGGCACGGTGAACATTTGATGGCCAGTGAGGTCAAACTGGAGCAAGCGGACAGAGGTTAAGCCACCAGCGATAAGTTATAAAGCATATGGTATACGGTACACACACATCTGTGCGCTCTCTTCACACACACACGCAATTACACACATACACGCACATAAATCCTAACACCACTTCTTCAGTGACGGGGCTTGGCTGGATTATCACTCTCTTGAAAAAAAGAAAAAAAACAAAACAAATTAAGATTGATTGATGTTTATCATTTTTTTTCTTGTCACAGAAACTGCCACCTGAGAATATTACCAAATGGAAACTTTAATAACTTGTCTGAAATACTCAACTGGGTGTTTTATGGCAAACAGTCTGAGGATTTTATCAGTTAGGAATCTATGGAGCCTTTCTACTGTGCAATAATTTCTGTATTTATTGGATTTTTGTAATGATATTTGGCATGTGCAGGTAAATCTTTGTGGGATTTCATATGGAGTTAGTTTTGAAATGTTCTAAAAAGAAACTTTTTTTTCTAAAATGCTATAACTGAGAAGACGTCACCACGAATACAATGTTTTACTTTTTTTTTCCTTTAGGAAGCTTGTTATCTTGTGAGAGTAAATTTGTGTGAAGCAGTTAGCTTTTAAAAGTAAAAAAAAGAAAAGGGGAAAAAAAAGAAAAGAAAAAAAAGATTTGTTTTCTATATTACCTGCAGCAGCGGATTACAATCCATTCCCTCATACAGGCCTAAAGCACTGAATGTCTGCCTGACAATAAAACATCCTTTCTGGATTTAAAAAATCCGACATTATCTTAGAGATCTGGTAAGTTGGTGTTAATTTATTCAGGGAGCGTTGTCCTTTTTAAGAAATGGCAAAAAAAAAAAAAAAAAAAACAAACAAAAAAAACATTGGAACAATTTCAAAATGCAGTTACTGTATCAGTGTCCTTGCTGCAAAAAGGACGTAAATAAAGGTTGCACTTAACAGAGATACCCTTAAACTGATGCTCAGTACATTCCTAATGTAGGATTAAACCACCATATTTAATATGTTGAATAAGTTAAGACTACTTGTGATTAATGTGAGAATGGGAACAGTCCTTTTTATGGTTTGTAAATATTCATTTTTTTATATATATATGTTAAAGTAGCCCTGACTGTAAATGAAAGATGGCCTAAATCTACACAATCAAAAAAAAAAAAAAACCAGCTGCTTACATATCTGACATGTAACTACCATCCTTTTCTTTTCTTCATTAAGCCCACCCCCAGTTCACTGTCAAAAGCTCATTTGTTGAGCAAAATTTGCTCTCCTGTCAAAAACCACTCCCTCCTGTGTCTGATGTGGAACATCTCGGTGACCCGAACTGACTTCCTATATCCCACGACGACCGCGCCCCACTAACCCCCCCCCCCCCCAAAAAAAAAAAAACCTGGTTCTCAAATGAAATGAAATTCACGTCCCTTCGCGTTTCTCCGCTCCGAGCTTCTCCCTCTCTCTGATGGCATCTTTTCACAGTCCGCCATCTCAGACTCATGCATTAAGAGTTGCTTTTTAAACGGGAAGGCCGCTCAGTCGCCTCACGCGGCGACACGAGGCGGGCTTTAACTCCCTGTAGCAGATTTTTGAGACAGTGTGCCCGTACGTGTCTTTCGGGGATTACGTTTTTTTATTTTTTATTTTCTGCATCGTTCATCCTAAAATGAGTCTGTTTGAACAAAAAAACAAAAAAAAAAATGAAAAAGCCATATGAGTTATGATAATTTGGAGCACAGCTGCACTAGGGGATGGCCGAGCGACCTTGAGTAGGGGCTGTTCTTGTGGCAAAAATGAAAAATTGGAGCTGAGAAATGAAGACGTGTGAGAAAGAAATGGAGGGAGAGAGAGAGAGAGAGCGCAAGACCTTGACTGTGGAGAGTAGTCATTCAAATGAAATTGGAAGCATATGAAACATGTATTTTTATTTTTTATTTTTTTTGGTACCCAAATGCACATCTACTGGCCACATCTTATAACAGACCATTAGAGTGAGACAGAGCAAGCGTGAGAGGGAGAGAGACAGACAGCGGAGCCACATGAAAGGAGAACGAGGCTACATCTTTCATTCTAGTGCCGCAATCCTCAGCCATCGAAATCATAATCACTTGAAAGTTTGACCTACCATTCTGGCCTATTGTCAGGTTTTATCTGCACCACTTTGCTTTGATAGAACAAAAAGATATGCTGTGCTTTAAATGCAATCTCACTTCTTCTTCTTCTTGTTTTTTTTTTTTGTTTTTTGTTATTTTGCCCTGGCAAATCTGAGAAAGAAAAAAACCCGTTGCGGTCACAATGAGAGCTCTGCATAAGCTACGTAGTTAGGTTATATTTTTGGTGAATCGACACAACTGGTGGAAGAGAAGCTTGCTTACATATTGTTTTGCATGAATGCAAAAAAAAATTAAAGGAAAAGAGAGAGAGAAAAGGAATCAAGGTGCTTTTTTAAATTTTATTTCTTTTTAAACACGTCGTGTATTATTTCCCCCGTTCAGAGCCAGGCCAAGACGAGGCCGTGCAAACGCACTCGGACAATGGAACAGCGGAGAGCTCACAGAGACCCCAGATCACACACAGACATTCAGTCTAACAAGATGTTTACAGTGTTGAAGTATGCCATTTAAGAAAATACTCTGTGTTAGTGTTGACAATGATACTAAAGTGTTTTCATTTTTTTATTTTTTCCTCCATTCTCCGACGTTCTCTCCGATAATTTGGCGGTTTTTGTACAATTTTCCTGGTGGAGGGGTTTTTACCTACATTAATGTGTTTCTGTATGATTGCTTGTTCACTGTATGGAAATTATGTAAATTGCTCAGTCGCGGCAGATACTTTCTTTTTCCTTATTTTTCGAACAACAGTGATGTCACTTTTGACTCCAGCTATTTGATTTTATATTTTTTTATATATATATATGAATATATATAAAGAATTTTTTTTTTTGGACTTTTTTTTTCTTGAGCTATCCTTAGTGGATGTAAAACAAAATGATTGAAAAAAAAAAAAAGAAAGAAAACGGAGGAAAATAGAACTGAAGGAAAAACCTTCAGGCGAGCGCGGCGATTTCGTGCAGGAATTCTTCTCCAAATCAATTTTCAAGGACCTTCATGGACTTTCATGGTCTTCTCCTCATGTTTGGTTGAAGGTCTTGTGATGGCACTTACAACTGTAATTTTTTGGATACATTTTCATATTTCACTTTTCAACACTTTCACCTACACTCTTTGTACAAAAAAAAAGTTTCCTTGTTCCTTTTTTTTATTTGTTTTTGTTTTGAGGGCGGCAGGGGGGAGGGGGGAAGTGCATCATTGTGAAAAAAAAGTGTTTTCAGAACAGTACACATCTGCTGTTTTGAACATATATGTATTTTTGTAATGTGTTGAAAAATCAATACAAGAAAGCCAACACTTCAATAAATGTTGCAATTGCTCTATGAGAGAACCATCTCTTTTTATTCAGACTGCAATCCAGGTTTTATGAAAATTTGATAAGGACTTTGGAAATGCAACACTTACACATAATGTTTAAATGCTCTTCTGACTTGTTTTAGTTTAAAAAATGTATTCCCGAAACACTGGAGACTGTTATGATCAGCGCTTTTGTCGTAAAACAAGGTCTCCAATTAGTCTCTCGGTTTATCTGGACCTTGTCCTGAGGAGTTTACACGTCGTTCCCAGCATGTGTGGATTTTCCTTCAGCTTCCTTCCTTTCCAGTCTGCCCAGCAAAGCAGCAGTTCAGATTTTTTAAGTTATTGGCAGTAAATGTTCTCTTACTTGTGGTTAAAAAAAGAAAAGAAAAAAAGATGATTGGCCTCACAAAATCATTTCAAGGGCTGCAAATGGCTTGCAGGCCACACTTTGAACACCCCTGTTCCAAGCAGTTAAGATGTGCTGAATCCAGTGGAGGGTGAGTCTGACTAGCTGTTAGGCTTCCCCCAAAAAACTCTGGAGATTTCCTCAATTTTCTGCAAACTCACAACGATTTTTAATTTATGTGGAGTGCCTAAGAGATCCCTTTAGGTCGTTAACACGTGACATGCCATTTTCATGCGTATAAAATGAACAGATTTGCACAATATTTGACTAGAAATGAGTCATGGCTCAACTTGATTATAACTCGAGTTTTTTGGGGGATTTAAGATTAAACATTTTCTGTGTAAAGCTTTTTCAGCTTTTTGTCTGAAACTCAAATAGAGAATCAAAACTATTTACAAAATCATACACAGACATTAGAATGATCAATCCCTGTCTAAGCGAAGTAAATAAAACCCAACAGATTTACCCCTCTTACAAATGGATTCTGCAATATACTGCTCTCCTGGTATTTGTGGAAGATAAGGACCAGCAAATACTCTAAAAATGTTTATAACTCCATGTTTTAATAGTTCAAAGACCAAATTTACCTTCTTTTATGCATTATTTCAAATGTGTTCTTGGACTGGCTGCTTTGCAAATGCCAGCCAGTACCATGTCAAGTAGCATTGCGCCGAGCTTTTCAGTCCCTAAAGCTACATTTTCTGTTAACACACAGATGAAATTTCCACAAATAATTTGTAGTTATGTATGACAGAAAAATTCTTGAGAAGGTGACTTCACAAATTCTGAACCGCTGTTCTTTGACATTTGCAGATTCAACTTGATTTTCCGTAGTTAGGGCATTATAAAACGTACATACATCCACTATTCTGTGGATATGTTAAAACCTGAATTTTTTTTTCAAGATCAAAGATCAGAGAATGCCAAAATGAAAAGAAAAAAAAAAAAACATTCTTTAGTCATGCATGCCTTTAATCCTTGGTTAATCTTTAAACCAACAATTAACATGTTAAGCCAAAGATTTGACATGTTTAAATCTTTGGTTTAAACAAGTATGTGTGTGCGTGTATGTGTGTTGTGTGTCCCACGTCTGTAAGAGCTGCCCCTGCAGAGGACTTCACCTGACTCACCCACTGACCACACAAGACTCTGAGAATAGATTAGAGACGATCGATATCCAACCTGCAGCCAATAAGATCTTCTTTTCGTATATATCCAGAAAAACGAAGTTAATGACCAGTCCATGAGGAGCCAAAAACACGGTGGACAAATTCTGCTTTATCAACTTAAGTCATTTCTGTGTTTCCATTGGGAAGGTATTCAGCGTTACCAATAGTGCTCCCTGGAGACCTACATAGTGATAACAGGGTAAATGAAGCGTTTCCAGTTAAAGTAAATAAATTTGTGCCTTCTTAATCCAGGAAAAGATCGTTGGCTTTTCCAACAGATGCTTTACTTCAACTGGAAGTACTTCCTGCGCTCCTCTTTTTTCTGTGCGTTTCACACAGGAAGATTATTGCTGCTGCGCCGCCTCCCACCTTCACTTCGCTTGTAAACAGTCTTTTTCGTTTCTGTAAATAACCACTGCAGCCATTTTAAGGGTTATTTTTAATGCAGCAGAAATCCACCTTGATGGAAGCTTCTCTTGGACTCGCCGTAGGAAACGTCAACAGAACCAAGCTATCTGGGTTTATGCTGAACAAAGTCACCGAAACAGGAACCTACTGCAGGTCACAAAGCAACTGCTTACAGCGTTTCCACAGAACCTGAATTAAAAATTCTGAACTGTCCCTTTAAGCAGGTGAGAAATGATTAATAGACAAAGAGATGAACATCAATTAATTGTTTAATAAGTTTACTTTCACTTCATGGTAACAGTTTTATGCTTAATTGCAGTTAAGTGGGAAATAACAGTCAAATAATTATATTTATTTAATGAAGGCACTTATCAGGATTTCTGCACAAATAAAGAACCGGATAACAGCAGTGAAGAACAGCTGAACGAATCTCTGCTGATATCCGTGTTGATAATCTTATGTTTGATTCTTAATAAATTCTCACCTCATTGTCAGCGAGGAATGAGTTTGGACAAGACAAGTCAACCCATTATATTTAATCCAACACTAGCACTTCACCAGAAAGACGGGGGAAAAAAACCCTCAAACGGAAGCATTCAGGTGAACTAAGCTTCAGAGCAGTGTTAATGCGAGAACAAAGACGCTGGAGTAATAAAAACAAAGACGCCTTTAAATGTGACTCATGAGGTTTATTCCTGAAAGCAGTTGCCGACCGTCTCATACTTCAGAAATGAGTCCTGGCATGAGCGTGGGGGAGCCGTCAGGTATTTGTTGAGATGAGGCCAACAACAGTCAAGTCTGTCCTCACTCAAGCCTGCAGGCCATTGGATTGGATTGCAGAAAAATAAAATAAAATACGGGATGGGCGTTGTTGCGCTTGCGCAAGGAAAGGGAGAGGGAGTTCAATAGGAGTGAGAGAAGACGACAATAGGGTGCAGACGGGGCAGAAAGAAAACAGTCAGGAGGCTCAAATGCTCAAATCCAAGCTCTTTTTTTTTCTCCCCAAGGTAAGTCCGGAGAAGTTCTCCGCGCTCGGCTGCTCTTTCCACAAACAGCAACCCATGAAAGCCCTCAGAATGGAAATTCTATCTAAAAATGTGATTATTGCTTCAGAAGTATCTGTTATAAATTACCCACACAGATGATGTTAAAAGCATTTGCAGCTTCCCCAACTTCTGACTCTCTTTTTTTTCTGCATATGTATGTTTGCGCCTGAAGGCATCATCTGGGCTCCATGCTGATGATTTGGGGGTGGGGGCTTCTGGTCAGCAGAAATGTGCACATTGTAGGAGAACA